AGAAAACTGCAGGTCCTATTGGACCGTTTGCGTTGAATCTGATCACTCTGTGACTCACTGATCTCAGGAAAATCCAGCAAACTCGGTTAGAAGATCATTGCTTATGTGAGGCATCCGTTCGTGCCCGTTAGGCATCAGAACTAGGTCATGAGCTAAGCGCGCTGCAACGCTGCAGTGTAGATAAACAATGGGATCAGATTGGGCGATCGATGCATTCTGCAGCAAATGGTTTTTTTTTGTGGACGTCGGCTTCCAGCCCCTCCGAGGCATTGGTTATCCGATGAGCCGTGTTGGGGGAAAGACGACAAATCTCGATCGTCCGGCGCTGACCAGATTGCTTCGTCTGTTGTAGCTGAGTCTCCGTGGGCGGTGACATGTGAACTACCTAAACGAGACGAGGTATTATATTGAATCTTGCTTGACATTATGTATGGCGCATTTCATCTCGTATCTTTTCATGGCGCTCTTTTTCCACCGAAGGTAGCAGTGGGCGAAAAAAGAAATCAATGGCCGTTAAAGAAAAACGTGGGGTGTTGACATGAAGCTCCTCATCCGGATTTTCGGTCGTATAAGGTGCTTTAGGCTCCCTGGAACTGGCCCTCTTGATTGTCGTAACTGGTGGTTAGAGACGCTAAGTGATATGACCGAGTGTCTCAAACAATGTTGCTTATGCACTAACTCATTTTCTTTGCAGTCTTACTCTATGTGAATTCTCTATCTTCTCTTTGGCTCTGCTTGAAACTTCCGAATCTTCTTGCGCTGTCTCACCCAAATGAGCAACCTCAAGATGCCACACAAATATGCATGGTTAATGGGTTTAAACCTGGAGTAGAAGATGTTGTTGCAGACAAGCAGACGGTTTTATTGTCCGTCACCTTCATTTCGACGCGAAAATAAATTCCCATCGACGGAAGTTGTCTTTCAATAACTCGCTATGTGGTTGTGCATTACGTTGGATGTTTCACCTTTATAATCCCCAGTGATCAGTTAACAAACGGTTTGTTTTGCCTACTGTCATTTTATTCTTTATGCACGTCTTTAGTTGCGAGTAGCTCGTTGTTTTCTCGTGCAATCGCACTTGCTGACTTTCGTTAGCTAGTTTCATCACCATTCAGTGAACGAAGAAAAGGTGATTTTATCTCTCAAATTTCTGTTTACAGAATCCCTGATACAGGCGTTAAGAGCGCTTTTCCAAATGTCCGAAGTGATTGGAGATAATCAACCACCACAGCGGCAAAGCTTTCTCTCCCTGTCTTGGAGTTATGTGAAGTTCTTTGGATCTTGTTTGTCGTTGTGGAGTATAGGATATTTCCGCTTCAGTCCTACATGGATCGCCCTGGGAACTTTCAGTTATTTTGTGATTCAAATAGCAAGAGATCGGCGTGTTGGATTGACTAGTTCGTTAAAAGCGATAGGAGAAAATGAAAAAAAATTCATTCTAAAAAATTTTTCGGTTCGAGATCTACCGTCATGGGTGGGTATTTCAGACGTTTTCTTATCTGAGTATCTAGGTCTACTTTCCAGATGTCGATCGGGCTGAATGGTTGAATAAGGTGAGTTCATTGGGTCCATTCAGTCAAGTTTTTTTTCAGGTTATCAAACGCATGTGGCCATATATCAGTGATTATGCGCGGGAAATAGTGTTGCAGAATGTCGAGCCTGCGGTTTCTGCCAACCTTCCGACCGCACTGAAACCGTTCAAGTTCAGTACAATTGATCTTGGAGATACAGTAAGTGTTTTCCTTTATTTTTCTTACTAGCTGCAGCCTCCACGTATTGGTGGCGTTAAGGTTTATATGGAGGAAAGCATTCATAGAGATGAGGTGGTTATGGATCTCGATGTAATGTAAGTGCAAGATTTACAATCATAATACTTTTCAGGCTGTATAGCGACGCTAGAATCAAAGTATTATGTGGAAAAATTAAAGCTGGTATAAAGGAATTCGAAGTGAGTTTTCGTAATTTCCTCCCGACTGATTCGTTATACTAGTGAATTATGCCTTTCCATTTTACCCTGTTTTGGTGAGGTGGAGGCGGGGTGGGGAGGGCGAAAGAGCA